TACTCCATCTCGCATGGTGATCTCTCTCTCTATGGCCTAAATTCCTTCTCTCTCCTCTATCAAAAATTATCCCTCTCTGCCGGAATCTCTCGCTCTCTAATGGAAATCTCTCTCTATGCGGGTAGAGAGAGAAATAGAGAGGACGGGGTGGAGAGAGAAAGTGAGAAAAGGAGAGGAAGGGTGGAGAGAGAAAGTGAGAAAAAGAGAGGACGGGTGGAGAGAGAAAGTGAGAAAAAGAGAGGACGGGTGGAGAGAGAGGTAGAGAGAAAATTAGAGTGAGAAAGAGTAAGAGAGAGAAAGTGAGAGGCTTGTGAATGTTTTTTAAAGTGAGAGGCCACATTTTTTTTTGAAAAAGAGAAGAGAGAGAAAATTGTAGTTTTGTCCCAAACGTAACTTGCTATTTGACTGAAGAATAAATAAATAAATAAATAAATAACGTTAGGTTGCAGGTTGAGAAAAAAAATATAAGGGAGAAAATATTTAAAAATGTAAGGGAAAAAATGTTGAGGAAGTTGAAATTGAGCATATATATATTAGAAATTTGAATATATCCAAAAAAAAATTAAAACTTAAGTCCATGTCCAATTTTTCCACACTTTATTTTTTTTTCAGAAATACCTGGTGTTTTTAAGCATCATGGTACTCACAATACCAATGTTTTTTTTGTGTCGATATATGTTTAAACAATATAACACTCTTTTTTGGGTAAGTGGGGAGAGGGTCCCTACCAAAGAATTGAGCCTAAGACATAGCATTGCAATTGTCTAGCGCTAACCAATTAAACCTTAAGTCTTTTTCTGAAAGCATCATGGCGTTGATACTTCTATTGTGCCAACCGTGGTGTATTGACATTGTTGTGATGCTTACAGCACCACCTCAGTGCTCCCTGGAAGAGTAAGAGGGCAAGGGGTGTATCACTGTTGTGTATGGACGTGATTTTAACAAAATTGGGTATTCTAAAATTTCTAAATAAATAAGGGCTATTTGTGATAGTTACCTTGTTTTTTTTTAAGATAAAATTTAATGCGCTAGGATAAATAGCTCACATGCCCCATTTATAGGCAACGAAGCCGAATCGAAAGTGAATTAAGATACTAATTGTTTACAGATATGTTTAAAATTTTAGCTTATGGATAATGGAACTCAAATGCTCACAACTATGCAAAGAGTAGAAATAGGATTAACAATTAAGCCAATGACCTTTCAAAATATGGTACTTGATAGGCTAAATACCTAAAAGATTTTTTTTTTTTATATCTCGGGTCAGTAATCCAAGAGAATGGAGAGATTGACGAAGATGTATAGAATTGAATATGAGTGGGAGAAGTGCAGATGTGCATCTCGAGTTTTATGTGATCGTCATATATATTAATAAAACTGAAAGCGAAGTTTTATAGGGTGGCTATAAGACCCGCCATACTTTATAGAATAGAATATTGGATAGTCAATAAACAACATGCCGATAGGATGAGTATAGTTTAAATAAGGATGTTAACATGGATGAGTGACAAAACAAGAAATGATAGAACTCAGAATGACTACATATGAGAGAACTTAAGAGTGGCTCCAATAAGCGATAAAAGGAAAAAAAGTACACTTAGGTGGACTGGCCATATGCAACATGAACCTAAATACAAATCTAGTTGATGGACAATTTGGTTCAAGTGAAAGGTTCTAAAAAGTCAAGAGGAATGCACAAAAGGACATGGATGAAAGTCGTGAGAAGAGATATAATGATTTATGGTCGAAGTAAAGTTATGACATTTGATAGAGTAGAATGACGAAACATGATTCATGTAGCCAACCACGAATAGATGGAAAAAAATTTAAATGATATTGATGACGATGACGACGAGAGGCTAAGATTAACAATTAACACAATGAAGATCTTTCCTTCGAAACATAGTAACTGATGAGCTCCTAGAAGAACCCATTATTTGTGATTCATATAGGCAAATCTATATGTGAACCTAGTAAGGACATTATGGTGCCTGATTTAGAAAGTCGAAAATGCGAGTCCAACTGCCCCCCCCCCCCCCCCCCCCCCCACACTGGTGACCAGTTCCGAGCAAGATTGGATGACACATATAATATTGCTAAAAATATAAATTTTAAATATTAATACTATTAGTTTTTACCGAGGGTAGAATTCTCAAATCAAGCACAAACCAATGTGTTTATTACATATTCTTACAAAAAAAAAAAAGAAATGAGTTTTTTAAGAGTGAAGGCATGGAGATTTGAACTCCTAGTCGGTTGGGCAAATCCAAAAATTTTAAAATACTATGGTCTACTAATTTCCAGTAAGCTAACATATATTAATGAAAAAAGTTAAGATAAAGGTAAAGTTTAAAAATGATGATTTGGATTAGAATTAGTCAATTTGAATTGGGAATCGTTTGAAGCGAACTAGTTTTTGCTAAATATCAAGAACCAGCTAATTCTCTATTGAAACGACCAGTTTTGGCCTGCTATTTGATAGATTCTGACTAGTTCTATGATAGAACCCCTGTGAGAAAAATTTTCAGAACTAGCCTTACTTTTTTTATTTTTATTTTTTTCAATATGTTTTTAAATTTTTAATGACCAGTTTGGTAATCTAGATCGCCGACATGCTAAACTAGATTTAAAATCCGGATGGACAATCTAGGTCCTCGATTTGTTTTTTAAAAGCTTGAAATAAGGTTCAAGTCTTATGGGAAAAAGTGAAGACACACCTCAAAGCTCATTGGAAAATGTACTTTTGGAATTGAAAAACATTCAAATCCATAATTTTGACTTTGACCATTAAAATTGTAAAAAACAATTAAAATTTTAAGCTCTAAAATAGTATATATTGTAAAATATTATTCTGATCATTTATTTTCAAGCTTTCACATGTCTGCAATATTTCTTCTATTTTTTGAGCTACAAATTTCTTAATTTATGGTGGAAATAAATTTTATAGCCATCCTATCATTTTCCCATGCCTAAATGTTCCAAATGGTTCTCGAGGAGAGATTTTTTTTGGGAAATTATCCTTAATATACCTTAATTTTAAGAAAATTGTAAAAAATTCTCCAAGTTTCCAAAACCTCGTTCACACTCTTTTTTCCAAATTTTTGATGAAAATACCTTTTACAGTAGTCTTTCTACCGTAATACATTTAAAATGTATTACGGTGGAAAGACTACCGTATTAGTGTGAAGATACATTACGGTACTTCGAATACCGTAATGAACATTACCATAATTTAAATACTGTAAAAACATTAAGGTATTTTAATTACCATAATACATAAATATATTTTTCACGAAATTGTTAGTATCGCAATACTTTGAAAAGCTTCAAACCGAAACTAATATCAGCGTTACCCCTCTTCTCTCATACTCCACGAAATCAAAACCAAGGGATAAAATTTTGATTTTAGTTTCTCTTCGAATTTACTTGTTTGATTCCATAAACTTAAGCATTTTGTTGTCGGTTCTCATCCTGAGATAAAATTCATGGGAAATGGAAGAGGAATGTTGAAAAATGGTGAGGTTTCAATTCCTCTCTGATCAAGCCCCGTTCAATAGCTTCTTATTACTGGTTATTCGTCACAGGTTCAGAGTACACAAAACCGTATGACACAACCAGAGCGTTTCGGCAAATAATTGAAAGTAGGTCCAACTTTAATTTTTCAAGGAAACAAAATGCTTTACATAGGGAGAGAGAGAACTTTTATAACCTGTAAAAATCCGAAAAATTTTCTTGATCAGAGTTCATAAGGCAATGAATGTTCGTTTTCCTCCCATAGGGAAAAAAAAAAAAATTGATTCATTTTTTGTGAAAAATGCATCGGAAACCGAGAATGGAAGACAAAAAGTTTTTAGAAAAATAAATTGAAAGGAGGGTTCTCTGTTTCTCTCTTATCGTTTCTCATTTGTTCTGTAAAAGTGCTGGAGATCGCCCTGTTCCTTTCTCTCACCATATTTATGTATTTTGGTTTACTGTTTGTCTTTTCTCACTTTAGAGAGAAAATGTAAAAATATTGACATTTTCTTTTTGATCTGGGCTTCATTTTCTTATTGTTGTTTCTTGGTAATGATATTTTCTCTGTTTGATCCAGTTTCTTGGTTTTGATTTCGAAGAGAGCTGAGGGTAGCTCTGATATTAATTTAGGTTTGAAGTTTTTTAAATCATTAGAGTAGAATATATTTATATATTAAAATAATTAAAATATTTCATGGTATTTAAATTATCCTGACGTTCATTACAATATTCGAAATACCGTAATGTATCTTCACATTATTACAGTAGTCTTTCTACTATAATATATTCAAAATATAAATATATTACGGTAGAAAGACTATCGTACATAGTATTTTTTGTCCAAAAAATCTCAAAAATTGTGAAGAAAGGTGTGGACAAGGTTTTGAGAAGTTTGAGTTTTTTTTATGGCTTTCTTAAAATTAAGTTATATTAGCGATGATTTCTCATTTTATTTCATAAGACCTACTATACATATAAACTACATCTTATATTAATTATTAGTCATGATTAAAGCCAAACGATTTATTTCTTCCAGCACAGTATAATATCCATCTACTCCCTCATAAAATGCCTACAGTGGAAAAGTCTTTTAAATCACAAATTTTAGGATGTGATATCTAGAACCGACAACTAGCGTGAAAGAGGAAAAAAAAAAAAACATTTGTCTCACATTAAATTTGTTTTGGATAATTTAGCTGGGAAGACTGCCCCTACTCTTTTTTTTCAATAGATTATCTCACCCTCTATATGCCCGAAAATAAACTAGCATAGCTACTAAAAGCATTTAGTTTTTAGAAGGAATGATATAGTTGTTCAAGAATTCAAAATGTAAATTTTTTTCTTTAAAAATAACTATCTAATTAATTATAACTAGATGGATCTCGAAATTTCAATTAAAAAAATATCTCCCAAAATAAGTGTTTTGGAAGAGTACGTGTATAGTATATGTTCCCCGAGGGAGCATAAAATACGCTGTCACAGTTAAACTGCTCGTAAAGTTGCATTTCTCCATCTGCACTGCACTGCTGCACCTTGATACCTGGAACTGGAACCTCCTGCAACTTAGAGAGAGAGAGAGAGAGAGAAGTGGAGGAGGATGTTTCGTCTGGGGAGCAGGATCGGTGGGCCTCTGCTGGCGAAGTTGAAGGAGACGACAGGAATCGTGGGCCTGGAGGTGGTCCCTAACGCTCGCGAGGTCCTCATCTCTCTCTACAGTCGCACCCTCAAGGAGATTCAGGCTGTCCCCGAGACAGAGGGCTACCGCAAGGCCGTCGAGACTTTTACCAACCATCGCCTCAAGATCTGCCGGGAGGAGCAGGACTGGGAGAACATCGAGAAGAGGATCGGTTGCGGACAGGTCGAGGAGCTCATCGAGGAAGCGGAGGATGAGCTCAAGCTTATCTCCAAGATGATCGGTTCGTATTATTCCTTATCCCTCCCTTTCACCATCTGTTTCTGTTTTCTCTTCTTTACCTGTTATACTTTCTTCTCATTATATATGCAGACATTCTGGGATAAAATTGGGCGTGTATTGTCTGTTATTTTCATTCATATCTCGCTTGTGCTCGTTTATAAGGCGTTTCGAGATTAAAATTATCTGGTTGTATGGTGCCTATCTTGCTTTCTATACTTTCTTATATGAACAATTTGAGACAAAAATTCTCTTCAAAAAAACAATTTGAGACAACAATTGGCTGTTTGATGTCTGCCTGTTGAAATTTTGTGCTGTTAGCCCATTTGTTTCCTAGTTTCAGTTTAATAGAATCAGAATTTTCTGGTTCATGAATCCAGTTAGATATAGTACTGGGGCTCAAAAACTAAGTGGATTGATGCTGTCTCCATTTGAAGAACCACTGGCTTCAGAGAAGCTTTTCAGCACCTCCTTTATCTGTATAAATTGCTAACGAACACAAGTCCAGGCAGTTCCCCTCAGAAATGGAGTCATAAATTTGGACTGTTCGTCCAAATGTTGGGGGCATGCCGTCAGTTCAAACTTCAAACTGCCCCAACATCAACTTTCATTAATGGGTTTGATGAGTTCTCAAACCTCTATATATGTTGATTTTTTACACCAAACTGAAGATAAACCTGATTGTTGAAATATTTTTTCTAATAAAAATAGCTTATACTTTTTCCATTAGAATGTTGAATAAATAAATAATTACTTTAAGAGATTGTATACAATGAGACTATTTATCTTTGGTACAAGAAAGTCACAATTACTTATAACCATCGGATGTGAAATCTGATAGCTTGGATGTATCACAAAGTTCGCGAAAGTTTCTTTTGAACTTTGAGTTTGGTTAAAGCAATAAATGCAGCCACCAAACTTCACATTTAATGGTCAAGATTAATTGTGACCACTTGTACCAAAGGTAGATGGTCTCATTGTATATTTTCCTTACTTTTAATATGTTTCTTATCCGTTTTGATATATTTTTTCTCTCACGGGGCCTTTATGTTTTACTTTTATGAATGGTTTCATGTGCTTGTAAAATGTGTTTGTTGGAAATGCCAACTTTTTATCCCACCTTGACACTCCAAAGCAGAAGGAGTGTTTGTGTTCGTGTTTGAGCAATGTTTTCTTTTCATTTTTTATTTTTTGAGTGATGTAGTTTTATTACATTTAACCTTTGCCTCATCTATTGATTTATTTTTTTCATTTTATACCATTTCAATTTTAGTTTTTCCTTTTCAAAATTTCCAAGATTTCATTTTATTTGAAAGATAGCAATTGGAATGTCTCACACTTGGATCTCAAGCGCCTTGCCTGTAGTTGGACATGTCTTCTCACTTTGTCTTGAACTGTGGATATCTTTAGTTAGTATCTGAGGAGATTTAGTGTTTAACAATGGTTGTGTGCATATCTTTGCCCATTTTGAAGCGTTCTTGTCGAGGGTGTTGTGTGCATCTCTAGTTGAGGGTGTTGTGTAGTCATTGCATGGGTTGTAGTAAGGAAAGATTTCAAGCCCAGATAAAGACCTCGTAAGAGTCACAGTCATTGCATGGCCTAGAGTAAGAAAGGGTTCTGCGAATTCTTTGTGAATGATTTTGAGAATAAGTGTAATGGAGTATGGATAGAGGTGACAAGAGCTGTGAATTCAGGAGATCATCTTGGTCAAGTCTGATGATTTATTTGGGACTGCATGGGATGCAAATGAAGCTGTAGCCTGGTCCATGCTCTATGGGCTCTGAAATATTGGTCAGAATTGGGAAATTGTTGAGTAGAACATGATTAAAAAAAAAAAACACAATATTCCAGGGCACAAACCCTTGCTCACTATAATGTTTTTAAAGAAATCTTTGCTCACACAGGGAGGCATGTTACGTAACAACTTCTGGTACGAACGAAATGAGGAGTTAGACGCCTAGGCAAAAGAAGGGGTTTCAAAATTTGACAAATCGCGTTTTTCTATTTCATAGAAGAGTTTTGCCTAGAGTCTATTTTCAATTTTGTAAAGGCAACTAGACTTGTACATCAATTTTGAGATTTAGCGACATATACATACACACACACACTAGGGTGCCTCATATTTATGAAAAATTATATTGTGATTAAGGGTATCAAGTGTCCAAAACTGTTGAGCAGCGTTAGGGAATACACCATAAAGAGAGTAGCCTGACAGACTCTTTCATATAACCCGATAGACTTATACTATAGAATCTTTAGGTGTCCTAGTTTAAGCAGAGCTCTCAGGACCTGGGATAGCGAATTGCACACTCAATTAAGGCACATCTGAATGCTCTTGTGAAAGTGCTTGATGTTTTTTCCCTTTTCTCCTAGGGTCGCTTGTGCTCTTGAGGCTTTGAGCATGGTATACTCAGCACATATGGCCTTTATGAGAAGATAGTTCCATTCTCAAAAAAAAGATTAGAAACTCAAATTTGTTCTTAGATTGACTTGTTTGAGTTTTTCACTAATGCAATGATTTTTTTCTTCCCTTTTTCTGTCCCAACAGCTGGAATCGAACTTAAGCCACCAAGTACAAATAGGATAACTAACATATACTAACACAAAACCTACAATACATGTAGGTGTTAATTCGTCTATATAATCTGATCTGAGTTTTTCCTAAGAGAACTTGGGAATCTTGTGAGTGAAGTGGACTTGGATGAGTTGCAAAACTGGGAATGAAATTTATCACACTGGCTTGGAGATTTCTAATATTTTCAACGATCTTATTAGGATTGGGGATGGGTTTTCTTTATGTTGTGCCTATATTCTTAAGAATCTAACAATGAGAGCTCTGTTGCTTGGGAGGGAATTCCTTTCTATTGCTTACATGCTTAAAACCATAACCTGTTTTACTAGGTTATGTTCTGAGGTTGCTTGAACCTTTCTTTCTATTTCTTAGTGAAAAAAAAAAGTGTTCATTTACTATGAGCATTCACAAATTCATGTGATCCTTTCAGTTTTAATGGAAAATGACATTGTGTAAACAAGGTTTTAATGAATTTTTATCCTATGTATGTTAAAGACATACTTGAGCTAGATTACCTTGAAGTGCATACTTCTTTTTGGGTAGATGCCTTGAAGTGCATTCTCATACATCACAATGAACATAGGTGCCAATGAGAAGGATCAAGAACTCAATGAATAATACAACAGCAAGAGCTGGCGGACACCATTTGCCTCCTATCATATTTTCAAGATGAATCAAATCATTATTTGTTTTTGTTTTTTATGCTAGAATATGTGATGATACTAGAAGAAACTATCTGCTTTGTGTTTGCATCAATACTGGACTTATCTTAGGAAATGAGTAGATTATTTGAAAGGCCTGAGCCCATGACATGTATGACACATTTAATTTGCCAGACTGCTTTCCAAAAACTTATGCCTGACCTCCAATTCCTGGTAGTAAGACCCTCATCCATAATGATGTTGGTAGTTTTGCTGCCTATGCCCCTCATCCAACAGCCATTATCCATAATCCACTGTGGCAAGTGATGCCTCTTGAAGATTTCAGCTCGTTCTTTTTTTTTTGCCCCTTTTTTCTCAAATTCTTCTTTTCTGGATGGATCAGTCATTCGGATTTTAAATTAAAGCCTGAAACTTTTAGACATGTTCCTTATCCTAATGCGTTTTCGATAATTGTGATGTTTGTCTGTGTCTCTGCAATCTTTGGTCATAAATCATGAGGATCTGATAGTTGCGGGCACTAGGGTACATGTTTGGATGCCACTTCAAGCAATTGTTTAGAGGGTCAAGCCATGGATGAAAAAAAAAACAAAGGTTATTTGTCGTTTAGGTAATGTGTTGATACCCATGTCAAATAATGGCTCATCCATGGTTTAGGGGCCAAAGCACTGGTGAGAAAAGGGTAAGTCCTCTTTTTTCTGTCCACGAAATGCTCCTTTCTCACTCTCTTTCTACTCGTCCCCCAACTCACTTACTCTCCCTATACCTTTCTCTTAGTATCAATAATCAGGGCTCCCATCTCTCTCTTACCCCTCTCCTCTCTATTTTTATCTCTCCCTGCTGTATTTACCCCCTCTTTTCACTTGTCCACTTTCTCGTTTTACCTGCACATAGGCACCTCCTATTTTCTCTTTCTCTCATCAGCATCCTCTCTTTCTCTTCATTGATCCTATCTCCAATAGAGGCACATAGGTAGTGCCACCCCCCTTGTCTTTCCCCTTCTTCCTTTTCTCTCTCTCTCTCAGCCAAGCTTGGAGTTCTCTCCCTTTTCTCTGTTGTTGCCTCTTGTAAAACTCTCAACTTTGTGTGGCTCTCAAACCCTCCTTTTCATTTAGTAATAAATCCCTAGTATCTTTTGAAGTCTTATGCTTTTGTTGTCCCTATAATGGTTTCAAAATCTAGTGAGAGAGGACTCCAATTTCAAAACATCAAAATCACAACACTCGAAAATCTTGGGAGAGAGTTTGTGTCGCAGCTGTGCTCCACATTACAACAAGGCCCTATGTCTTCCCCTTCCCTCGCCCCCCTCCACCTAGTGCTTCAAAAAACACTAAGCAGCACCTCCCCGGCCATGGGGATCCAAGCCGCCCAGTGCCTAGGTAGACGCTCAAAACCTGGGCAGCCCAATAGAAAGAAAAATGTCTACAATCTTATGTGTCTAACAATATGACTATATAACACATAATCCATAATCCATATTTATATGAATGAGGAGAATTTAGATAGTCCATAATCCATATTTTCACACAATGCTGGAACCATACAAGCATACATACAAGAGTTAGATAGTAGAACTAGAAACTAAAAAATAAGAAAAACAAAATATACAGTCTAAGACTCAATAGTCCAACACCAAGAGTCAAACATCTTCATTCTTTGGTCATGATCATAATCATCAGAAGGAGTAGGGTAAGCCTCATATGCATCAGATTCGAGGCCATCATCATCAGAGTCATCTCCCTCTTCAACACAACGCTCGTCCTCCTCTGTTTC